ATGAGGAATTTCAAATAGTTAATTTGATACTAATATCGATATACTTTTGTCAAATTTTTATGATATCTTCAAATATATATTTTATTCAAAAATAAAAACATCATCGCTTTCTCAAAATCACATAAAGTCATATTATAACATCGACTGAGATAAAGAATAAAATGAAATATTAAAATCATGATGTATCTCGCTGAATTGCGCGAGTACGCTTCTAGTATATATATATATGTATGTGGCGGTCGGTTTGGTCCAAACCTCCCAAAAAGGCTCCAGACCGTTGACTGAACCGGACCGCCCGGTTTTGCTATTTTTCAAACCAGACCAAACCGCTAGACCGCTCAAACCGCCAAAAACGGTCCGGTTTGACTTGATTCGGCCTGTTTGAGCGGTCTAACGGTTATTTTTAACACTCCTAAATCAAAGTGTATCAAAGTGATAACGTTCACAATGTTTTACGTGTATCACAATGTATTTGCTTTGTTTTATGAAATGTATCATAGTACATATTTTCGTTGTTTTACAAAGGGTATCACATTGTGCATCTTGTATGTATATTTGGATATCACAGTGAATATCGTTTGTAGGTATTATTTGTGTTCACATAAGTTTCATCGAAATAAGTTCCGCCGAATAAGATTCGCTGGAGAGAGGAAAAGATTCGTCGGAGAGGGGAAAGATGAGAGAAGATATTTATAAAATCTCTAAAATGCCCTTAATTAATACTTTAAGTTAAAATTATTAATTTACTAATTTAATCTTTGATTTGTGGTTAAGATTGAATCTCACAATTAGCACACACTACAAAACTGCAAAGTATCAGCAAGGGAAAAATCCCCCGCAAATCCGTCGCTGAACAGGCAATCCGTCGTTGATCCGTCGGTCAAATAGTTGTAGGTAATGCTATCAGCGACGGATTTGCGAGGAATACTTTCAGCGACGGATCAGCGAGGGAAGTATTTTGCGACGGATCTGCGAGGGAACTTTCAGCGACGGATCTGCGAGGGAACTTCCAGCGACGGATCTGCGAGGGAACTTCTAGCGACGGATCTGCAACGAAACTTCCAGCGACGGATCTGCAACGGAACTTTCAGCGACGGATTTGCAAGGAAACTTTCAGCGACGGATTTGCGATGGAATTTTCAAGGACTTTCAGCGACGGATTTTTTCTCGCTAATCCGTCGCTAATTTGTATAAATTTAAAAAATATTTTTTTTGAAATTGCATAAATTCTGTATTTATTTATAAAAAAACCTGAAAATAATAATATAACAAACAAAAACTTTGAACAAATTTTAACTAACCAATTCATACGATTTAAAAATATGGGTCCATACAATTTAAAATATTCAATTCATACAATTTAATCTTCAAATACATACAATCTAACTATCGGGAGGTGTGGGAGGTGGGAAAACGTATCCTGACAGCCGCATAAACGTAGCAAAATGCTCAGATAATGCGGCCTGTTGGGCTAATGCAGCAGCTTGTCTGGCCTGTTCAGCCTCCAAATCTGCCCTATTCTTCTGTTCGGTCTTCAGTTCCTCTTCTACCGTTGCCAACTTCTCTCTCAACTCCGTTACCTGTAAATATACAATATTCGACAAAATCAGTAATTTGTTAGCAATTTTAGTAATGAGAACCTTTCCCAGGCCATTGTTCCAAAGGGCAGATAACCAATGCCCGTAGATTCTCCCTAGGAATGAAAAGAGCATCTGCCTTGGGTGTGCTGGTAGTCTCTTCCTCATCACTGAAAAAKGAGACCTGCAGAAATCAATCACATCAGTAAAGCCAATTCTTTTCTCCTGGAGACATTATCTGCTACCCACGATTCGGTAAACTTGGTTCAATATAAAAACTACATGCACCTTTGGACCATAATTTTTCGGGTGATTTTTCCTTGCAGGCAACCTAATCCTCCTTTGAGAAAGATGTCGAGAAGTCAACACAAATGATATCCTTATCGGAGCAGGTTTGTCAACAACCTGTAGAGAGAAATTGTAAGCTACGAAGAATCATATGAACTGGGTACTAGACGTGAGTCCATTTCTTGGAAGCCATAGAATAAGYCTTGAGTGATTCCAGTAAAAACAGAATAACTTGAGCACAGCCTGAAATAAGTGGCTACAATTGATTTTATCATACTTACTGGCAAGCTAGAAATTCCATATTGAATTGAAGGTGCAGTCCCAGCACGACCAATTGACATCTGAGGCATTGCTGGTAGAGTACCAAAAGGATTCGTAATGGACTGTGGTAGTGCAAGTGTCGGGCTCTGATTGGCAGACCTGCCATGTCAAGAATAAGGAAGCATTGAGAAACAAGAAAGAGGCAGGAAAGGTGGGTTTGCAAAGGTGGTAGTATATCCTAGTTTGTTCCTAATGAAAAGAATAAAACAAACAAGTTTGGGGTAAAAAAGCATTGGCTGTAACATACATTTGTCCAAAATTACTCTGACCAAAAATGCTTGGCGTGCCACCAATGCCACCTGCTGTAGAGACCAAGGGGGAAAGTAAGAAATTTTGAAGTGAAAAATAATAAAAAGAATTCAGAAAAGGTCTGCCTAAATTCTAAGAAATTTGAATGCTGGTGCTGCAAAGCCAAAACCACCTGGATTCTGAGTTGGTTGAGCCGATTGAAAAGGCATTGAAAGAGAAGGCTACATATATAACCAACAAAGGTAAGATGATGATTAAATATACTGAGTTCAAGCTCAGACAATATTTATAAAAAATAAGCATATTACAATAGAATGCAAGAATAAAATATAATTGATGTCATGCGTGGACATAACTCAGMAAATAATCACTTTGAAACTCATTAATGAATAAAGATGAGAGATGCAGCATTCTTGAAAAAYTCAACAATAGGATTGTGTAGCAAAGCATAAGATGGCTAACAGTTGTTTAAGATTATATTTCAGAGAGCGCTAGTTAAGATACTGGCCTAAACTTCAGGAGCAACTTTATCAACTTCCATGAGTGGATAATAAAACAAGTAAAGAGTCCCAAAATACTCGATAGATAGAAAAAAACAAAAACTATGGTAGATCCTCGGTATTAACAAATAAAGAGTAATCACAAGTTCACAACAACTATGCAGAAGATCATATAAAGCCAACAGAACACTCCAACATGAGTTTCATTGGCTCTAATCTTGTAAGCCCCATCAATAAMTTTGAGCATATTATTTGAACACTAACCTTGTGTGCCTTCCARTCTACCCAAGAATTGGTGGAATTATGTATGCCTTTATATTGAGCTATGCAGTTAATAGCAAGTATAGCGGCGAAATAGCAGATAGCGGTCCTGGCCAAAATAGCGTGTATTATAGTGGTACCACAAATGGCAGCCACTTATTACCGCTATTGACTGCAATTTTGATACCAAATAGCGGTTGCTGTTACCGATTTTTCTTTTTGGGCTCTTTTAGACTCCTYTTTTAAAATTAAATTCTATTTGGGCTTTTATTGTGTCATTTATGTGGACTATTTAGAGYCAAACTTAGGGCTGCAAACAAAAAGGAAATCAATTAAATCAACAATAGAAACAATTAGGTCRAACTTTGGTATCGATTCCAAGTCCAAAGCTCTACTCATCGGTTCCAAGTCCAAAAGGCTTCAACAGCTCGAGTTTTCTTCTCGATTCCGTGGTTCCACGGGTTTTCTACTGGAGTTCTCTTCTCATCTTGACAGCACAGCTCCTCATATAATGTTGCTTGTGTGGTTGGAATTGTTTGACTTGATATGTATTACACATACAATATTTYAAGTTTCATATATATTATTATTATTTTATGAACATGTTTTTTTACCGCTACATCACCATGATAAACGCTATTTCAAATCAAGGTCCTGACYGCTATTTCCACAATGGACCGCGTTAACTGCTTAGATATTGAGCTATAGGACCATTTAGGTCAGGGGTAAATTAATTACTCAGATGATCTATTGATAAATGAGGAACAGGTTCCTTTAAATCTAGAGGCACAGGAAGTCGCAGCAAAGCAGTSAAGTTGGAGGTAAAACAACCTTATGAGAGCCATGGGGATACACATGACAAACACAAGGAACTTGGTGAGAATCAGTGCTACATGGACCACCATAATGAAAGCAAAAAAAGTATTGAGCATATCACCAAATGTAAAATAGTGTGTTTGAATCAGACACAAGAATAAARAGGCTGGTACAATCTGGAGAATTTCGAGCCCCTCTAATGGATGACAATATACTCAAGAAGATGCACCMAAAAGATTTTAAATCAAAATTCAACAAGCATGTCAATGATCTCARACAAATCAAACAGATTCCAGAAAAGCAATGGCTGAGAAGGGARCATAACCAAAAAAAGAAACCCTTAGACACAAACATTGGTGTCCAGCAGATCTGCCTAACGTGCATTTCAAATAAAAGGCACGAGTAACCTTCATTGATGTAACTACTGTTAGACAAAAGCAAGAAAAAATTTAGACATGCTGAGAACAATTTTTCATGATTTAACTCATCCTAGAATGGTGGTTATAAAAGTAAACGAACACCTTTTCCCAGAGTTTGACTTCACTTGAGTAAGGGATATGTATCAGAAAAGAGGYGAGGCAGAAAACACATGAGAGTTAAGTCTTATGGATGTGTAACAGAAAAGAGGCGAGGCAGAGAGCTTAACATTTTTGTTTCATCGTTAGGAGTTAGGACTAATAGTACTTGCACACCAAGTGAAAGTAAAAAAGCAGGGTCAAACCACAAGCACAACACAAACATCTGATATAGAAATTCAGCAATAGGTGGAAGCACCCCTCCTTCCTATTGTATTCCCACAATACTTTCTTGATCACTACTATCCATCAACACTAGTCACCTTTTTTTTTTTTTTGTAAGGGTGTCCGGGCCAAAGCCCGACTAATCCCCGGCAAATTTGGAGGCTAAACATGGCCCCACTTAAATGTCGCCAACACTCCCCTCCCAGGGCTTTAACTCGGGTTCATGACTATTCCATGCCCAAGCCTTTACCACTAGGCTGAAAGGTCTTTGACAACACTAGTCACCTTGATGTTCACTAAAGACCTAGAGACCAGTGTTCATCAGAAACAAGATGAAACAACAATAGAGGATAACTGATTACAACGATTCTTATCAYGAMTCTAGTAGAAATACCCTGATACAGTATCRGTGTTTATCAGACATGAGAGGAATTGACAAAGATAGGGAGGAGGAGAGATGGGAAGCTTTMATATTGTGGGATCAGTCAATGGYACTATACCTAGCGACTATTATTGTATACGACAACAATGACTTTTACTTAAAAGCTGAAAGGAAAGTATTATTACATAAGCCATTTCCAATATACCTAAACGGCTCCTTACCTACTTTGCTCAAGCAAACAATATTGGACTACCAACTTTAATGRCAATTTCTTTCATATCACTGATATGCAAAMAATAGATGRATTAAATCCAAAAAACGATAACACGCCACAAGTTGATTCCAGCAATAACAGATTAAGCAATTATTTCTTAATTACTCTGTAGTTCGAATTATAAACAATGTTCTTCTGTCAAATAAAGAACCTAAGRTTTGATATTTACCTGAAATTCTGCAAACATGTCATTATAATAATAATAATTATTATAGATTTGATATTTAGACATTTTCTCTAGTTACTGTTTCAAGAAGTGTCCTATAAACACATCTCTAGAATGGTTGCGCTTTTGAAGTGCCCTATATAAAAAGATGTGTTAACTAAAATAAAATAAAAACCGACTTTTTCTGTAGTTATTCTTTTGTAGACATTTTCTATAAGGTCTTGTACATGGTTGTATGAATGGAGTGAGCAATAATAGCTCTCACAATAGTTAATGGCCTGYCACTATTTATTCTGTACGAGTCTATTCATGTGGGAAGAAGACTTTTGAGGTAGGAGACAAGGAACGGAACCATGACATCCCCTCAAAAGTCCCCTTCCCACATGCTTAGACTCRTATAGAATAAATAGTGACACCATTAACTATTGTGAGAGCTATTGCCCACTCCAATMATAAAGCCATGTATAAGACCTTAGAGAAAATGTCTACAAAATAATAACTAGAAAAAAGTCTRTAAGTGATATATTGACATTCAATTAGAATAACTGATCATACAATACATAAAGAACACTAACAAAGAAACTCACAGTTGTCTGATTGAATCCCATGCTGCTCGTGCTTAGTAATGATGGGGTACTTGAAAACAAGTTCCCTCCAAATGCATTTGATTGGCCAAARGCTGGAGTACTCTGCCCAAATGCTGGGGCAGCCTGCCCAAAGGCCGAGGCAGTTTGCCCAAAGGGAGAACTTGTTTGTCCAAGAGAGGGCGTGCTCGACTGGAACAAGGTGGATGATTGAGTGTTGCCAAAGTTTAGGCCAGTAGCAAACGATGSAGTTGCTCCCTGTGCTTGAGTCGTACCAAAAATAGATGTTGATGAACTGGGTGTACCAAAAAGAGAAGCAKAAGTAGTAGCTCCAAAACCAGGAGTGGAACCAAATACCGATGGCGTGGGTGAWGGACTTGACCCAAAAGGATTAGATGCTGAAGCACCAAAAGGCGAAGAACCAAGTGAAGGAGTTGTGCTCCCAAACCCTGGAGTACCGAAAGTTGGGGTCTTTTKGGCAAATGGGTTGGAAGATGTAGAAGAAGAAAATGGATTTGCAGATAACTGGCTGAATGCAGGCGACGATGAAAAAGGGTTTGACTGTGTGTTGTTGGTAWTAAAACCCATTCCACCMGAAGACTGACCAGCAGGATTTGGGCCCCCTGAAACAGACAAACAAAAGAATATACTATTTATCAAAGAAAACCAATAGGACAAGGTGCCAAGAGTGATGACAATGATTATTACCTTTATCT